TGTTACCTGTGAGATTCTTGTCACCATAGCAGTACGGTTACGGGAAGGAACATATCTGTATTTTAATAAAATACTGACCGCGGCACACAGATGTACAACCATCCTTGATCGCAAGGCAAAGTCTGATATCAGATAAAATAACTTCTAAAAAGGTTTTGACGGACCTTATTTGGTGCTTGATCTACATGAATGACATACCCAGTTCGTCTGTTTTCATGCTTTGGACCTTCAAGTTCATTCAGTCAAAAATCTTGAAATATTCTAGTCCACAAATGGCTGAAATTCTGGTGGTTTACAATCAGTTCTACCTGAATAGCTAACTATAAAAATATAGACAAATTGAGTGCTATAAATAACAGAAGCAATTATTTGGATTTTAAGTTAATTTAATTTTGAGGTTACAAGCTCGCCCGATTTCTAACACTATGAATCGCATCTAGACTATTCAGGATTATAAGATCATTTATTTAGGTAATCTGTACCAATGATTTCCGTCTACTCGAGTTAAATGTGAATAGTGTGACCTACTAGCTTACGTTGAAGTCACACCTCACTGTCAACATCTAACGTTGATTGTCCTTTCGTGATATCCATGGAAATTGACTTCCTGAGTGGCTGGTTTGGAAAAACGCTCTCAATAGACAACAAAATGTATTAGTATTATTGGATTACAAAGTACGAATAAAAAAGCACTCTTTAAATAATTCTGTGCAGTCCTATTTGAAGCATTCAAGATGGTCTACGACAACAGCGCAAACAGACAACGTCAACTAGAAGTTTCGCACATGTACAGCATAAGGACAAATATCGGAAGCACTGCTTATCAAGTGAAAAGTAAGTGATGGCATATCCACCTACTATTTTCAACTGTGCAGCTAAGCGCTTAACTTTACGATAAGTAAACGACAGTTCTGAAATCACGACTTTCAACAAGAAATGTAACCCAAAATGAAATGCTTATTTGGTATACTTACTATGTAGGCAAATGAAAAGGCGTAAATGGTACAGCACACTTGAATTGGTACCAGCTGTTTTTAACTCACTAATGACTCATCAACATTATATCGGATAAATAATGACAATTTTTTAGCACTATCAAATTTCATTGTCCGAACCTAGCAATCAAGAAATATACCGATTATAAGTTATTTAACTATCAAAATAAACCCCGCCGATCAACTTACTTACTCCTGTTACCCCTCATGGAGGAGCATGGGCCGCCCACCAATATTCTTCAAAATCTGTCCTGAGCAATCCTTTCCAGTTGCTGTTCACTCTTTTCGTGTCTGCTTTCAATTCCCGACACAGTGTTCTTTCCCGTCCAATTTCCGCTTCCCCTTCAGGATGCAGAGTTAGTGCTTGCCTCGTGATGCAGTTTGATGGTTTCTTCAGTATGTGTCCTATCCAATTCCAACATCTTTTCCTAATTTCCTTCTCAACTGGAAGCTGGTTTGTTCTCTCGCACAATAGGCTGTTGCTGATTGTATCCGACCAACAGAAATTGAGAATCTTCTGTAGATAGCTGTTCATAAATACTTGTACTTTTTTGATAATGGTTATGGTAGTACCCTATGTTTCAGCTCTGTACGATAGAGATGTCTCGACGTTCATATTGAAGATTCTGACTTTCATGTTCGTTGACAGTTGTTTGGCGTTCCATATGTTTGAAGAGATATGGTCTACTTCGTTATTAGTACTGCTTTAATAATAGAGCTAATCCTTAAATTGTAGATTTGTCATGTTGTAACTATCCAATCTATAAGATCTTGCCTAAAAGTCGCATCATTGTCTACATTGACTCGTCGTATAGTAACGATTACCAATATATGGTGGAGGACACATTCAGGCTGTAAATAGAACAATTTATTTATTGTGAGTAAAAGCAAGTTATACGGAGTGACCACGCCTGTGAGGCTGAGCCATGCCACCCAATTGGATTCGATTGAATTCCTCTTACCCTCCTTCTCCACCGTTGGGTTTTTCTCCCCGTTAAATGCTGAATATCTATTTTCGCAGCTGTCTCGTGTTCAGCTTTGAGGATTGTGTGTTTAGGGTCCAGTGCCACTACATGTACTTCGATTGTAAGAACACGGCCTTTGTTTTGTCAATCCTCACCTTTACGTCGGCATCAGATCCTTCTTGTTCAACAATGATGTTTTCAAGGTACATGAAATATTCCACCTCTTCCAGAGTTTATCAATTGTGATTTGGATGGTGTTCTCTGTGTTGTGTTTGAGGATCTTACTTTTTTTCTTATGTATGTTGAGGTCTAATGATGCAAATGCTGATGCTATACCCGTTTTCTTCATTTGCATATGTTCTTGTGTATGGGATAGAATAGTTAGATCAACTGTGAAGTCCAGATCATCTAGTTGATTCCAAGTTGTTCAGTGTATTCCGTCCTTCCTGTCAGATATTGATGTCTTTATGATTCAGTCGACCACCAGAAGAAAAAGAAAGTAAGAATGTAAGCAACCTTTTCTAACTCTGGTCCTCATTTGGAATGTGTCTGCCAGTTGTATTCCATGCACGACTTTGAGGTGTAGTCCAGCGTATGACTCCGGTTGATGTTGACGAACTTCCCTGGCACACCATATTGTCCAAGAAAGTTCCACAAAGTTCTTCCATCCACACTGTCAAACATTTTCTCATAGTGAAGGAAATTGATATATAATGACAAATTCTATTCAACTTGTTGTTCAACGACGATCCGTAGTGTTTTCGTGCCTATAGGTAACCCCCGTACTATTGATAGAAGAAACCAGAGAAGTTGTGAGTACGTCTTTATTTCGATCTTCGCGCAGTCACAGTGGAGCGTGGGATTATCTGTTCAGACAAACAAAAGCTTTCAACATTCAATATAAGATAATAAGGAATATAACGCTTATACAAAATAAGGAAGTGAATGAATACTTGAACAATACTGTTTTGACATATGCTTGGTTGTTTGGGGTCAACTCTTAACCAACCAGCCTATGCTGTTACAGTGTCGCAGTTTGGTCTGTGCACGACCGATCCTTACGGAATCCGGTCTGCTGATCTCGAAATTATGTGTCTACTGAACCGTTCATCTGGTTCAGCAACATTTTGTTGAAAACGTTTCGTGGTACTGATAGTAGTGTGAGTCCTCTGCAGTTCTCACATTTGCTCATATTCCTTTTTTTGGTATCTTGATGAGGTGTCCTTCTTTCCAATTCATCGGCACTTGTTCTTGCATCCAAATTTCTCTGAATAGAGTGTAAAGCATACTTGAAGACGCTTCTGTGTCCGACTTCGGTGCTTCGGTTGGTATATTGTCAGGTTATACTTTTTTGGCAGCAGTTGGAAACCGTATCTTATCCAAAGGTTTCTGGTCTTCAGGCTCATCTCGATCTACAGATTGATCTGTCGATTGTAGAGTGACATCATGCTTATTTTTCATGTGCTTTAAAATATTTACTGTGTTTCGAACTGTCTCTAGCTGGTTATTTGTTGCAACTATTATCAACTCTATCGCTTCACGTCTTCTCGCACGACGCTGATAGGGTGTTAGGTCTGGAGTGACTTTTATGTTCTTGTATGGAGTTAATGAGCCAACATTTCACAACAGCTATACTTAAACAGGAGAGAGCATGTCGATCTATCCGACGTTTCTCTAAGGCGGATGATTCGGCAGTTGACGTTCAGCATACCGCATGCTCTAGGGTAAAAACCCTTCAATTTATTGCAGGTCTCCTGCAATTTGGAAATAAAACCGTCACATTTACCCTTACATTTACAAGACTCCTCACCAACAAAAGTGACATGATTCTTAAGAAACACTCCATGTGTTATCTTTGACATCCTTCGGTTTATTTATTGAACTGATGTGCATTATTAGCTTTTTATCATCCTATGGACACATTCTCGTCGTGCCATCTACATTTTTGCCCCGTAGTATATGACCCTCATCATTAGCTCTTTAGCCTTTGACCAAAAAAAGATCAACAACTTAGTGCGATGAAATCTCGATTGATTTTCTGCAGTTACGTTTCTGTGACTTCAGCTAGCCTGCTAATTATAAATATGAATAGAATTTGACAATTACGGACAGCAAACTGTCTACAGTATTGACTAACATTCTACTTTGAGCCAATGATAGCACCATCATCATCTGGTGATATACTTGCCATAATATTGCTTTAGCATCATTGTTATTACAAATTGCTTTACACAGTGCATATGGGAAAAATCCGTCACCTGTGGACGCTATCTTTTGCAATCGGACTCACTAGAACAATTTCTTATGCATATTATTCTTTAGTATTGTCAATTTTGCACATTACGTTCAAATAACTTGTATTTTAGTTCTAATCACAACTCCTAGCTTTATTAATACTTGTTATTTACCTATCAGTTTCTGCCACCTATGTTTTTTCTTATCTTAAAGTCTGTCAATAATCGACGGATTTTCATTTAATTCATAGTGACATCTGGCACGTGACCACTTCTGAAGAATTAGTCATCGAATCAAGCAGCCGTTCATTCTAATGGGAGAGCATTGCAGATCAAGTGATGTGTCGCTTGGCTCTATCAAGCTCATCCAACAAGCGAGCGACTGAATGTCGAACAGTTCAACGACCCAAGTTAAAATCAATGTGAATCTTTCTTACCGCTCACCAATTAATGACACACGATGGACTGATTCATCCGGCGGTTGTCGTGGCCTGTCTCCCGAATCTATTCTCACTGACGCATTTCCTCCACAATATCATGTTGGTTCTATACGGCCATCGAAGTGACTGCAGTAACCATATCCCAAGAAACGGTAATCCATGTAAGGTGTTAACAGAGAAGTGTGACTTCAACGTGAGTTAGTTCACACTGTTCCCACCCAACTCGAGTCGATCGCGATCACTGACACAGATTACCTACCTTGGTGATCTGCAAGAGATTTTCTTTAGGGATGAACACAGAAATCTCCCAGAAACGTGAACACTTTCAAGGTTACAGCCTGTAAACTACTGAGCTCACTCCTGGAAAAGCTAGAGACAGGATCTCCTGTTGAATCCTTTGAAGTGATTCTTAACGATACCGAGAGAGGTGACTCTACATTTCCCCCCTTTATCCTCTTCTATTCACTATTAATTTATATTTTGTCCCATTTTCATTCCTCAAGGGATCAAAACAACAATATTTCTCCTTGACCAAGAGCTCTTTTATACAACCCTCAGGCATATTCTAAAAAACTGACAATTTGTTATGTCTATCCTGTTAAGTTTAAAGTTTAAGGTTTCTTCTAGATTCTCTATTGCTCCCTGGACATCGTATTCTTACTATGTGTCATAGGCGGATTATCGAAATTGGATGGAGTGGTTCAAGGGCGAAGTCTCGGACGCAATTAAATCCGTGAAAGAAGAGTCTAAATTGCTACTAGTTTTTATTAAAGGTCTGTAACAAGCATAAGTAAACTTATATTATTTTCAGGGACTGACGAGGACTCTAGCTTTGTCTCCACCCAGTTCGACGACCAGGTTGGGGAAGTTTGTTGTAATGTTGTGTGTGAGTAATCAGTATTCTGTATATTTTAACTTACTGGGAGCCTATTCTTTCACAACATATTTAATCCTGTGTCAGTATATGTGCTGAAGTAAACGTTATTTTAACATTGTAAACTAACATTTCGAGTTATATCAAATAACGGTTTCGCGGCATATAGATTCCTATACACCGAAATACCTACATAATTGTTATTAGATGGATATATGAGGTAGTTGTGTTAGTTTATCCTCTGTCCTCAAACAGATGAGTTAGCTAGCTTATCTTTAACATTTTAGACTAAAACATAGACTGTCTGGAAAACATAAACTCATGTATTCCAGTCATCCGCTTCTTACTTACTATAAATAAAGGTATTGGTTTGTAAAAGTTTTTACATACTTTGCACCGTAGTGTCAGGAATACTCACCTGTTAAGGTCAGTAAAATGTCAACTAATACGAGCAAATCATAAGAGCATTTCAACTGAATATCTATTGTGAATTGATACTAAAGTTCCAGGATAAAAAGTTTTGAAGTTGCGTCAAAACAGACCAACTGTTAATCGGTATTAAAAGCCATGTCAAAATAACAGCTAAGGAGCTAAATATATGGTTAAAACTAGTGGTAGAATGTTATCGGTGTTACAATTCAATTTGGAAATTAATGTTATCAGGGCAATTGAAGGATGACAGTAGTACACCTTGTTATACGTAGTTCCGGCTTAAACGTTTTGACAGCAGTGGCTTCCGCAAGACGTTATGAGTTCACAATTGTCTGATTGCTAATAATTCTTTGAGATTTCTATGTCCACTATCACGTAAGCGATGGGCAGCAGCACTATTGGAAGCATACCGATTGTCTCAATATTTGAGAAATGTAGTTAGTGATGCGAATAATAATTCTTTCTGTTCCAATGAATATGCTCTGGCATATATACTGAAAAAGCATCTTTTATATTATGACGTAAAGTGTGTTCAGTTTTGTTTCTAAAACCAATGCCATTAATTCTAGGTTGTAAGCAACTGAAGACTACGGAACAAATGGATCCGCATTATCCTGCTGCGTTCGTTCCTACTCTAGTTAAACTTATCCATGTGAGAAAGTGTATGAGTTTTATCGACTGTGCCAAAACCGTAAATTTCCTAGCATGCTCAATGCAGTGTGTATTAACATGGAAAGCGTCTTCCATCTGTCTAAATACTGTTAAGTTTAATATATATTGAAGGAAGTGGTCTTACTGGTACCTGCTCAGGGATATATAATCATTAAACTGTACTGCATACTCGAGCCTTAAATCATAAGATGGTTCAACAGGTATTTAAGCAGTACGATTACATTCCAGACAACCTTACCTCCCTTTTATCCTAAGTCTTGTGTCGTAAGGAAATAAATAGAGGACTGCGATTTATACATTAACAACAACCCTGCGGTAAAAGTTGGTTGCTATTTGTAATACCAGAATGCGTTTGTCATAGGTTTCCTGTTTGAAATATTTTTCTATGCATTCATGTCTTAGAGGCAGTTACAACACGGTTTGGATGAGTTCTGCTTAGTAAAGACTGCTGAGATAGGTCTAATCCAATTTTGTTTTCAGGTACCTCCAGAAGAACCCTTCCACAGTGTGGGCAACCGGGAAGTGATGACCACCGTCATACCTCTAACAGCACTCAAGACCATTGTATTCATAATCAACCTCCTTCTTCAATTCTTTTTATTCATCCTACATCGACTTTCAACGCTAAACTTCCTCTTTCGGCTTCCTCCACAAGTGTCACCATAGCCAACGATTCTAGTGCGCGAAACACTGTCCCAGATCTACTGAAACCTCGCTCCAAACTACACATTGGAGCCTTCAACGTACGCACCCTATGTCGAATTGGTCAGCAGGCTTCCTTGGCTAAAACCCTAGAGTCTCTTACCATGGATGTATGCTGTATCTTCGAAACACATACAGGATTCCAGTGTGGTCATTCACTTGACCTCACCTCGCCAAAATGGAGAGCCAACGAGATACACCCTCCGTGTATCTGGTGACCCGATGGCCAGTTCTCGTGGTCTAGCAGGTGTAGGCATAGCACTAAGCATGAGGGCGGAACAAGCACTGTTAGAGTGGATCCTCGTTAAAAGTCGTTTATGTGCTTTTCGGCTAAATGGCTCCATAAGAACTCGGAAGGATAGGGACACATGTCGTTGCTTTTTCGTCGTTTCTCAGTCAGTCAGTAACAACGTAGAACTTAGTACGTACGTACATCAGTTCGAGTTGCCATACCACATTAGCACAGAGATGCAGTGGTCGATTCAAATCCCGTAGTGGTAGAGGTAGCAAGAGTATAAGCAGTGATCGGGAAGATTAGGGTTTGGAGATGTTATTTAACGAGTATAATCCAGTGAAATAAATTTGGAAAGAGGAAAAAAAGGGGCATGAAGAATTCAGATAATTAGAATTTGGGAGAACATAGAGAGTGGATGCACCTGCGCCATTGCAAACGATTTTGAGCCATGTCATTCAGGGTCTCTAACCATCGGTTGCTATCATCTCGCGGTCCCCAACCAGGTAGTCTATACCTACCAACATGACTCAGTCCACTTGTCAGTGACTTCATGGATTTGTGCCATGTTTTGGTCTGGCCGCCCCTAGCTTTCTTCCAACCTACTCCTATACCACTGAATATAGCACGTCGAGGTAGTCGGTGGTTGGGCATACGTAACACGTGTCCCAGCCATCTCAACTGATGAAGTTTCACTACTTCATCAATTGATTTGCCATCCTTACCTAGTACCCGTTTCCTAACAGCTGCGTTACTTACTCGGTGGTCCCAGGATATACGAGCAATACTTCGAAGACACCTATGATCAAATACTAGTAACCTACGAATATCCTCTACTCTTACCGGCCATGTTTCACAGCCATAAAGTAGGACGGAACGAACTGCTGCGCAGTAAACACGTCCTTTGGTTGGTAGACGGATATCTCGCCTACGCCATAAATGACGCAAGTTGGCAAAAGCTAGTCGAGCCTTCTGTATCCGTGCTGAGATTTCGTCACACACCAGACCACAAGGGCTGACGAGACTTCCAAGATAAGTGAAGCGGTCGACACACTCAACTACTTCACTCCCTATCACTAGTTTGGGTGTCGATGTAACCCAATCCTGAAGCAACATTTTGCATTTCGAGGGAGAGAATCGCATCCCGAACATGCTTGCATTGTTGCTTAGAGTGGTCAGAAGACTCTGCATTTTGTCAGCGTCTTCACCAAATAAAACTATGTCATCTGCATATTATAAGTCAACAAGTGAACCTCCCGGTAGAAGTTCAACCCCTGGAAATTTAGATGAGGAGAGTGTTATCTCTAAAAGTACGTCGACCACAAAGTTGAACAAGAATGGGGAGAGTGGACAGCCCTGACGAACACCACTTGAGGTAATCAATTCTGATGACAGTTCGCCATAAGCTCTCACTCTACCAGTTGTGTTCGAGTAGAGAGCCTTTATAAGGTTAATGTACTTCTTTGGTACTCCTTTCAATGACAAACACTGCCATAGAACCTCACGGTCAACAGAGTCGAATGCCGCCTTAAGGTCGAGAAATACTACCATTGTCGGGCGTCTGAATGTGTGTCTGTGTTCTAGAACCTGACGTAGTGTGAATATCTGATCTATACAACCACGTCCAGGTCGAAAACCAGCCTGATTTTCTCGAGTCTGCTCTTCACGAGCTTTGATTAGGCGTCGAAGTATTATTGAAGCTAATATTTTAGACACTATATTAGTCAAACTGATTCCTCTGTGATTGTCACAAGAGGACTTTTGTCCTTTCTTATAAACTGGCACAATCAGTGATTGAGACCAGTCAGATGGGATTACGTCCAGTTCCCAAATTCTACCTAAGACCTCGGTTAATCTCATTGCTAATACTGGACCACCATCCTTAAAAATCTCAGGAGTAAACCTGTCAGGGCCTGCTGCTCTCCCTCGTTTCAGATTTCCTATGGCTTTTTCAACTTCATAAAGAGACGGAGGACCTACATTAACTTGCCATTCAGGTTGACTGGAGATCGTGGGAAACCGAAGTGTGGCTGAAGGCCAGTTGAACTGATCCCTAAAGTGTTCTGCCCATCGATCCAATCTCCTGGATTGAGAATGAATAATATGTCCATCTTTCTCTGATATTGTTTCGCTAACAGTCGGGTTCCTAATTCCGGTTTCCTTAACGAGTCTAAACAATTGTCTGCTATTACCTATTGCCGTTGCCTTTTCCATCTCTCTTGCTTTCGCTACCCACCACTGTTCGCGATCATTGCGTAGACTTCTTGTCAGTTTGCGCTTAAGCTGACTCCGCTCTTCACTATGTTCAGAGCCAGGTGGAATGAGTTTCCGAGCATCCATCAGTGCGATAGATGCTGCTGAGATCCAGTGTTGCTCCCTAACCTTCTGGTTTACCTTACTAACAGATATCACTGCTGTTTCCACAGCTTTTCGGATATCATTCCATGCTGCCTCGGGGTGGGCATCACATACATGGCTGCCTAACTGTTTTCCTAGTTGTTCCTGAAATATACTCTTAGCTTGACTATCATTAAGTAGGCCCCTAAGAGGTTTCCTTGCAGCGGTTTTCCTACGTCCAGTAAGACGCAAGCAAATACGCGCTCGTACTAGAGCATGATCTGAATCTAGGCATGTGCTCCAGAATGAGCGACAGTCTTCTATCGAGCCCCTCCATCGGTGGCTGATAGCGATGTGATCTATTTGGGTCCAACGTTGGGACGAATTAGGGGGTCGCCATGTTAAAAGATGTTTTTCCTTATGCTTAAAGTTAGTATTTGCAAGGAACAGGCGATTATCTGAGCATAGCTGCAACAGACGGTCGCCATTATCTGTTCTTTGAGCCATGACACTATAAGATCCACCCAGGTGTCTTTCTCTATCGCTTAGTTTACCTACTTGAGCATTAAAGTCACCGGCCACTATTACTACATCCGAGCGCTTAGCTTTTCGGAGAAGGTCCGAAAGCTTTCTGTAA